GAGGGGCGGGGCGGGGCGGCGCTGCGCCGGAAGTGGCCCCTGGATCGTAAATAAGCCTGAAAGGGTTGGCGAGGCGCTGTCTCCATTTTGTTGGCATTTGAGGCGTCTGCGACGTTGTGGAGATGGGGAGCGTTTTGGGGCTGTGCTCCATGGCGAGCTGGGTAAGGGGGTTTGGGGCAGCCTTCGGGGCGCTAGCGTGGGAGGCGGAAGAGAAAGGGATTCGGGTGGGCTTGGGGAGACCGGCGAGAACGCCGCACCCCGCCCAACAGGGAGTGCCTGCCGTCCCCATTTTCCTTTCTGTCTCCTGGTCACTCCGACTCAGCTTCGGGGTTGTGATTCTTGCTGAGAGCTGACCGCGTCGGGTGGGGAACGGTGGCGATGGGGACTCCTGTGGGAGAAACGAGGAAGGGAGCTGCGAGCCTCCCGCCCCACCCGTCTTTCTCGAAGGCTTCTCCCCGCTCGCCCAGGCCCCCTTTGTTGTTTTCTCCCTGTCGGCCTAGGCCAGCCCTGCGAAGACCGTGGCCCTTTCCCCCTGCGGTGCTCCGTCTCCTCCTCCGCAGCCGCCGCAGGCTGCGGCGCTGCCATCCCTCGGGCACGCCGGCCTCTTTGTTCTGCCGCGCAGACCGCGCTCAGTGCCCGTTATTTGGGACAGCCTGGCAGTAATACTGATGCAGTGATGTCGATTTGAAATAAATAGTCCTATCCTGCGACTGGGCGCTCGACCTTAATGCTATGAAGAAATTGCTATACAGTACTTCTCCAGTAATTTGGGTGTCTGGAAAAGCTGGTCACTTCCGCAGTATTAAACATCCTGTGTCTTTTGACATAAAGCGTGATTGCGTAATCTGAAATTTCATGTTTAATTACGCGTACTTTTCATCTGGATTAGACAGCGTTTTTAGAGTGAAACCATTTTTCATTTTAGTGGCAAGATTTCTTGATTTAGGTGGTACAAGTCAATTTTAGTTCAAAATAACCACACTCTTCCAAGTAAAAGTAGACAAAACATTGACATTACAGTTAATAGCGGTATTTGTAACTTTGGGCGAGATATTTGGATTCAAATCATCTTTCTTTAATCTATGAGTTCTAATTTCCACTTCTAACAGTTGCTTGTCTGACTACCCAAAATACTTTATCATATACTTTAGCCAGCGTTTTGATTATTTTACATACTTTTTTCTCTCTCAAAAAGTTCTTGATATGGCTTGAATTATAAATGTTAAATTTTAATAAAATAGTAAGTGGAGGTTGTTACTCCAACCCAGGCCATTCTCATAGTCGGACAGGAAAACTTGGAATATTTTTATCCAAATAAATTAGAGAACCTACTTGTCTATTAACGTTTATACAAAAGAGGCATAATTTAGTATAATAAATAAAATGCATTACAAAATAATAAATGATTATTATAAGATAGCTTTCATTGTTTCTTTTTGTAGTGGAAGATACCATGTAATTTTATTCATAAAGTTAGATTTTGTCCAGTTATCAAGTGGACATTTCTTTGTATATAGGGAAGATTTAATTAGGAGGGGTACATGTTTTCCATTTCTCTTCTCCAGATCAGTGATGATCAGTCTTTCTAGTTCTCCACCTTTATTGACTACAAAACTGCAATAGAATTGACACTCCCTTTCCAAGTACATTGGAAAGATAGTAACAAAGAGGTAGTTTTCTTATCTTCTGGTAATTACATCTCTGGCAGATAGAGAGGCTAGGTGGCCAAGGTTATTCATGGTTCTAGATTATTGTGGCCAGTGTGGGAATTTACCCTGTAGTATGCAATTCAGGTCATCTTTTCCCTTTTCCTTCCTGGTGCCTTTGTCTCTTTATTCCTGAAGTGTTCAGTTGTAGTGCAGCTCCACAGCAATTAAAGGGGAATTTGCCCTTTAATATACATATCCATTTTCTTCCACAGTCTTGTCAGTATGCTCATTTACCTAGAGGTTTTGACAAAAAGTATTCACATCATTAAATTAGATCAGTTAAGCAAACCTCATTCTTCCTTTGCTCAAATTTCTTTAGGTTAATTTTTGTAAAAGTTTTTCTGATTAATAAAGCAACTAAAAAATTTCCGAACTATGGAAAAGGAGTGTAATACTGTGTAGAGATTGGAGTGTTAAATTTTTTATTTCATTGATTTTTTTTTTTTTTTCTGTTAAGGGGCCTGGAATTAGATGACTCATACCGTTTGGTGATGACTTTAAACACCATAAAACATCTTTGGACCTCCCGCTTAATCCTATAACTACAACATTACCAGCAATTTAAACTTGCTTAAGTGTTTTTACCCACCCCAATCTCAACAACAGTGTTAGTGACTAGAATTGATTTTTTTGGATGACTGCACCTTGTATATAATAACTGTCATTTTTTGCCAAAGATATTTACAGTAATGTAGTTAAGTAGTTAATAAGAAAGAGCTAGTGATTACTGACTGCCTATTTTGCACCACCCTTTGCTAGATTTTTATTTTGTTGATAGAATGGCTTGTTTTGTGGAAATGATTCATAGCTGCTACAGATAGTCAAGCAATGCAGAGTGTACTGTTAAAATGTCACACAACAAAACAATCCCACGGCCCATAATATTTCTTCTGTCTCAGTGCATATATACAAATGGACGAATAAATAGACAAAAATACTTTTTTGGGAATAGTGGCATGCTAAACATGTATTTTTAAAGCAATAAATCTAACTTTTTCTGAATTTAACAAAAGAAAAAGTAAAGGAATTTCTGAATGGTAAATAAACATTTCTTCATTAGGAGAGTTTAAAGGATTTTTTTAAGGCAATGTTTTTATAGCAATGGTTCTCATCTGGGCACAGTTTTGCCTCCTTCAGGAAATGTCTACAGACATTTTTCATTGTCACAACTTGAGGTAAGCAGTGTTAATATCATCCTAGTGGGCAGTAGAGGCCAGTGACACTGCTAAACTTTCTACGATGTACTTTCTAGGACAGCCCCCAACAACAATTATTTGGCCCAAAATATCAATATTGCCATTTCTGCCTTATCGTCTTCATTTGGCCAGAGCAAAAAATGGAATGAAATCTGGGGTCTTAAATTGCTCTTTAAAAGCTCTTTCAAGTCTGGCCAGCGTGGCTCAGCAGCTGAGCATCAATTCATGATCCAGGTGATTCCCGGTCAGGGCACATGTCCAGGTTGCAGGCTCGATCCTCAGTTGGAGGCGTGCAGGAGGGAGCCAATTAATGACTCTGTCATTGATGTTTCTATCTTTCTCTCTCCCTCTCCCTCCTTCTCTCTGAAATCAATAAAGACATTTAAAAAAATAAAATGTTCTCTACCTAGTAAGGACGTGTGTGTGTGTGTGTGTGTGTGTGTGTGTGTGTGTGTGTGTGTGTCACGGCATTCAACCAATCCTATTTTCAGTCTCACTTGTGGAGGTATGTGTTGCCACCAATTTTTCCTTTGATGGTTTATAATTTCAACTTTCTTACTCTGTTAAGTCAGTTATTATTACTCTGTCTTCCAGATTTAATTTGTTGTTTTGGCCTTTTAAGTTTATTTCTCCTTTAAAAAATCCCTTTTTCATTTTACTGGTGTTTCTAAAGGGAACATGAGTAAATTCATGTATTCAGCATGCCATCTTTAACCAGAATCCCTCTGTATTATTTTTTATATGTAGCCGTTTTTTTTTATAACCATAATTGCCACAGTTGCTTAGTCTTTGAACTAAACTAGTCATTGTTAAAGTGTGTTCCTAGACCCAGTAGCATTAGCATACTAGGAAACTTACTGGAAACACTGACAAGGGCTCAGCTTTCTGTTTTAATAAGCCCTCCACTTAAGTAGATTCAAAGCTAAAAGCATTACCTTTTTACCGTGTTTTCTCCCAATTTTTGGTATGTAATAGATTTTTTAAAAAGGATTCATGAATGCTGAAATCCCTGAATTCTTCGATATTTAAAAATGTCTGTTGGCTCGGCCGGGCGTGGCTCAGCGGTTGAGCGTCGACCTGGGATCCAGGCGATCGGGGCTCCATTCCCGGTTGGGGCACATGCCTGGGTTGCGGGCTTGATCAATGACTCTCTCATCATTGGTGTTTCTACCTCTCTCTCTCCCCCGCCTTTCCTCTCTCTGAAATCAATAAAGATATATTTTTAAAATAAAAAATAAAAATAAAAAAATTAAAATGTCTGTTAAATTCTTGAGAGAGATTGTGGACTGGTATAATGGTATAGTTGACCCTTGAACAAGGGGAGGTGGTTAGGGGCACTGACCCCCCCCCCATGCAGTCAAAAATCCAAGTATGACTTTTGACTCCCCCCAAAACTTAACTACCCTTGGTATCCAAAGGGGTTTGGTTCCAGGACCCCCTGCAGATACCAAAATCCATGGATGCTCAAGTCACCTATGTACTATGGTATAAATTGGTGCATACAGTTAGCCTTTGCCCTCCTTGACTCCCAGCTGCAGACTAAAAACAATATAAGGTATTAAAAAAAAATCCACGTATAAGTGGACCCACACAGATCAAACCCTGTTGTTCAAGGGTCAACTGTATACCCATTTCCTTCAACTTTGTAGTTATTTCTATGGATTGTGTTCTGTCTTAATACCACCCTCTATCCCATGCCTGCCAACACATGTCACATGTGCAGTTGACTTGCTTCTACCTGGGTAACTGAAGAGTTTTTACTTATTTTTGAAATTAATTAATGAAATATGTCAGACTTTAAATCATTTCTCACTTTTTTTTTGCTTCTGGAAAATAGTGTTCTTTTGAAAATACAGGTTAAATTTCTTCATCTAAGGAAGTTTTTTTTGTATTAAATCTTTGTTCCTTTTCCTTTGTTTTATTTAGAGGATTCTCTTTATTTTTTAATTTTTTTTTTAAACATATATCTTTATTGATTTCAGAGAGAGGAAGGGAGAGGGACAGAGAGATAGAAACATCAATGATGAGTCATTGATTGGCTGCCTCCTGCACTCCACCCACTGGGGATCGAGCCCCCAACCTGGGTATGTGCCCTGACCGGGAATCAATCCTGGATCTCCTGGGTCATAGGTCGATGCTCAACTGCTGAGCCACGCCAGGCAGGCAGGCGAGGATTCTCTATTTTAAGGATACCAGTTACCTTTATGTTACACTGTCTTTGTTTTCCTTCCACGTTATTATTTTTATATTTATTTTTGTCATTTCTTAGTTGATACAATGTACATAAAATTCATGCTTTGTAGTGTATACAGTTCTGTTTTGATAAGTCATGTACTTGTGTAACCACAACAGAACAATTATCTCCTTAAAATACTCTTCTTTCCCCATCTTTGACAACCCCTGTTTTTTCTGTCTTCAGAGTTCTGCCTTTCCAGAATGTCGTATAAATAAAATCATACAGTATATAGCCTTTTGAGTCTGGCTTCTTTTACATAGTGTAATTCATTTGAGATTCATTCATACTATTATACTTTATTTTTTTTATTGTATGGTATTCCATTGCTTAGATGTACCATAGTTTATCCACTCGCCAGTTAAAGGGCATTTCCTGATTTTGGTAATAAAGTAGCTATAAGAATTCCCATAAAAGTTTTTAGTGTGACTTTAAGTTATTTTGTTAGGTAAATATCTAGCAGTGGAATTGCTGAGTCATATAGTAAGTGTATGTTTGGCTTATAAGAAACTGCCAAACTGGTTTCCAGTATGTCTACACTATTTTTTATTCCCATGAGCAAAGCATTCTAGTTGCCCTGAATTCTTGTCAGTACTTAATATTATCAGTTTATTTGATTTTAGCCATTCTAATATGTGTGTAGTGATATGTTCCTAATAACTAATGATATCGGGTACTTTTTCATGTGCTTATTTGCTGTCCATATTTTTTGCTTTGCTCCATCTTTACCTAGAAGTTACTAAGTTTTATAATTTACAGATATGTATGTGAGCCATGTACCTTTTATCCCTTGGTAATTACTTTAACTTCAGTTTTTTCTTTTTTGAATGGGTAGAATGTACATTTTCACAGTATCATTTTAAATATACTTATTTTTAATATTCTTTTCTCAGATACCATGTTTGTGTGGCAGTGCTCCTTGTTTGCTGTGCCGATGCTGTCCTAGTGGAAACAACTCCACTGTAACTAGGCTGATCTATGCATTTTTCTTGTTTGTTGGAGTGTGTGTAGCTTGTGTAATGCTAATACCGGGAATGGAAGAGCAACTGAATAAGGTTAGTCTTTTTTTTTTAAATTGATTAACTGAACCTATAGTGTATGTATGCATGAAACTGATTTTTGTGTATTGGAAGCAGAATAATGTACAAAGTAAGATAATACATAGTCCCAATTTTAGTAGCTCATAATCTTTTAGAAAAGACAGACCATATAAGGCAGCTTGTTAAATTCTGTGATGGTGGTGCAGAAAATGTGCTTTGGTAATAAGAGAAAATAAGTAATTCTAATCAAGTAAATGTCAGTGGGTCTCATGGGAAAAGGGACATTCTAAGAATGAGTACAACTTTTGTATTCAGAGATTAAAAAATAGGAATCCTGATGAAGATAAAGAGCTTTTTTGAGCCTGATTATGTATGCTCTAGGAAGATTGATCTGATAATTAGGATAGAAGACAAGCAATTAAGCATGGAGGCTGTTGCAGTGATGTAATAAGTGTGTAGGGGTCCTGAAATAGACTTTGTAGAAATGACTGAATCTAGATTTAAATATTGGCAGTGATAGGATTATAAATAATAACAAGGTTCTGGTCTTAGACAATTGGGAGGAACCTGTTGCTGTTAACCCAGAAAAAAAATGGGTGGGTGTTTTATTTTTAGGATTTTTTTTTTCACGGAGTCAGGTTGTAAAAAGATGAGGAAAATACAATTTATTATAGTTTGTAACATGTTGACTTGGGAGTACTGAACTATGTATGTGAGAGAGGGAGAGAGAGAGAATCCAGCAGGAAGTAGAAAACATGAGTGTGTAGCTTAAAAAAGAAAGGGGTTTAATAGAGGAAAAGGGAACCTCTGAAGGACCAGTGAAAAAAGGGAAAACCAGGAGAATGTACTGTTGTGCAGACATTAGGAAGAGAGTCTTGGACAATCGGTTCATGACCTGAAAAAGTAGTTTCTTTATAGAGTGATGGGGCTAGAGGGGAATGGGAGGAGAACCGTCAGGCAATAAGGAAATGTATCCAGTGGGTATAAACTGCTGATTGGAAGTTTTATAATGAAGATGGTGGTCTTGGCAGGAAACTAAGTCAAGGAAAGGATTTTTTAGAATGGGGAGATTTAATTGTTTGTATTTTGAGCAGAGTCAAAGATAAGAGATCTCATTTGTGTGTGTAGGAGAGTGATACAAGAAGAGGGAGAGGAGGAAGAAGGTGATTGAGGGAGGGGATATGCAGTAGAAGTTAGCTGTCCTCTAAGGCAAGATGCATGATGACAGGAAATTTGAGGTTGAGAGAGAATATTTAATGTCAGAACCTCCATTTTAAAGCACATAGTTGTCTGCTTGGGGTTAGCTTTGGGGTGAGGAAAAATGGTGAAAGTTTGGGAAACTAGATTATTATGATTTTGAAAGTAGCTAGCATTGTATATGACACATCTGGATACTCAGTTAATGTTATTCCAAGTCCTGGGTATAAGCAAAAAACATGCCAGGAGATGTTCATATGGTTTTGTCATGGATCTAGTTGACCATGGTTATAAAAGTTTAGTTGGTGGATGTTAGCTCATATCACCAAATATTTCTACTTCTCTGCTTTCTGAAGGGCATCAAAGATTTGTATTTCCTAGAGTACTGTGATATGTAGGGTCATGTCCCCAGTACTGATCAGTGAGCTGTGAGTGGGTATGATACACTTCAGCTACTTGATGATGGAAGAGCTCCTTTCTTTTCTACTACAACCTGCACATCATTTGAGATGGTGGCTTCTCCAGCAGCCTGGATTCCTGAGTTGACTACCAATTATGTACATGTACATGATGCAAGAAATATACCTTTGCTGTCTTAAGCTGATATATTGGGGTGGTTACTGTGCCAGCGCTACCTAATATAGGTGGCTGAATTAACTTAATAATGGAAATTGGCCAGATGGTGTGCTACTCTAAGGGAGTGGGATAATTAAGGGTGCTAGTGAGTACATATTACAAGTGATTATGTGTAAATACATACTGCCATAAGGTTTAAACTGCATTGGAAAGGTAGGATTTAAGTCAGACCAAAAAAGGGCTATTGACTGTAGAAAGTAGCAAAAGGAAGTAGCACCTTCTTAGTTTAAATGTTATTTTAAGTTCTCATACATACAAATAGTGTATATAGCTCTGAGGACTACTATTTATTTCACTTAAAAATATTTTTTTGTATTCTGATTCCAATATGACTTTCTGAAACGATCAGTCTTTTTCAAGATTCTAAGTTAAAAAAGAAAATTATTGCCAGTGATTATGTTAACCCAAATTTATTCATTATCAGAAATAACACTTGTAGAATAAGGGACCAGAACTCAAAATGAATTTAAGTAGCATTGGTTTTGAAAAGCCATCATTGTTCTCTTAAGGGTTTAAAAGGTGACTTAGTTGCTCTATAATTCTTTAAACTTTTATTGATTGTATTTTTTTCTTATATAGGTACTTCAGTATATCACAGTAGAATGCAAGTTTTAAAAAAATTCAGAATAAGTCTGCAAGTCAAAATAAACATTCTCTGTAGGAATTGCATTTGTAGTTTATCATGTACTCACGTAAAGTGAAAAAGAATTAAACTTTTATCTATAAAAATGTTCCAGACTTATACTTTGATTACATATTCAACATAAACTGAAAAGCAAACTTTAATTTTCTAAATCTTTACTTAAACTACTTGATTATATAGAATTTTTATTTTTACTTGAAAAAATTCTAGATCACAGACTCTTGTTTTGTTATATTAGATTCCTGGATTTTGTGAGAATGAAAAAGGTGTCGTCCCTTGTAATATTCTGGTTGGCTACAAAGCTGTATACCGTTTGTGCTTTGGCTTGGCTATGTTCTATCTTCTCCTCTCTCTGTTAATGATCAAAGTGAAGAGCAGCAGCGATCCTAGAGCTGCAGTGCACAATGGGTAAGTTTTTGAATACAGTCATACGCTGCTTCTTGATGGGGGTACATTCTGAGAAATGTGTTGTTAGGTGATTTCGTCATTGTGTGAACATCATAGAGTGAACTTACACAAACCCAGATGGGATAGCCTGCTACACAACTAGGCTATATGATGTAGCCTATGACCCTTAGGCTACAAACCTGAATAGCATGTTACTGTACTTAATACTGTAGGCAGCTGTAACACATTGTTAAGTATCTGTGTATCTATCTAAACATAGAAACAGTACAATAGAAACATGGTATAAAAGATAAAAATGGTACACCTGTATAGAGCACTTAACCATGAATGGAGCTTGCAGGACTGGGAGTTGCTCTGGGTGAGTCAGGGAATGAGTAAGTGAATGTGAGAGCCTAGGGCAGTACTGTAGATAGACATTTTGAACACTGTACACGTAGGCTACACTGAATATATGAAACAACACAAGATTAAATCAAACACGAGAAACTAATCAATCGAGACATGGTAAACATGAGATACATGAGGCTGCTGCTGGCATAACACTGCATACTGTTTTACAGGAAACCTTTTTTAATAAGTAGAAAACAGTACATGCTAAAGTAATAATGAAAAGTATAGTATACCCTGAAACTTACATAATATTGTATGTGACCTGAATTGAAAAATGTATTTTAAAAAGTATAGTATAGTAAATATATAAACCAGTAACAATTCTTTATTAGCATTATCTAGTTTACATACTGTACATAATTGTATGTGCTATACTTTTATAGGATGACACACAGTAGGTTTGTTTATACCAGCATCACCACAAACACATGAGTAATGTGTTGCTCTATGATACTATGAAAGCTACATTGTTACTAGGTGATAAGAATTTTTCCGGCTTTATTATGATCTTACGGGACCACTGTCCTATAGGTGGCCTGTCTGTGGTTGAGCAAAATGTTGCTATGTGGTGCATGACTGTAAACTTCAGTATAAAAGTATGGGTAGTCTCTTCTCAGTAATTTTGAATCTGTCTAAATGTTGAAATAAAATAAATGTAAACAATTTGCAGAATTATTTTGTGATTCAGGAACGATAAGGTAAGAAAATCCTCTTGTGTCTATTTGAGAATGGCAGGATTTCCTTCTTTCTTATGGCTGTATAATATTCTATTATGTATGTATCTTACAGTATATTTATTCATTCATCCATTGACAGGACACTTAGGTCGTTTTCATATCTTGCCTATTGTGAATAATGCTGCAGTAAACATGGGAGTGCAGATATCTTTCTGGCATCCTGTTATTTCCTTTGGGTATACACCTAGAAGTAGAATTGTTGGATCATATGTTAGTTCTATTTTTAATTTCTTGAGAAACCTTCATACTGTTTTTTTGTAGTGGCTGAACTAGTTTACATTCTCACCAACAGTGCATAGGGGTTCCCTTTTTACCATATTCTCACCAGCGCTTGTTATTTCTTGCCTTGATTATGGCCTTTCAAACAGGTGTGAAGTGATGTAATTGTTTTGATTTACATTTCCCCTACAATTAGTGATATTGAGCACCTTGTCATATACCTGCTGGCTATTTGTATTGTTTCTTTTGAAAAAAATTTCTCTGTCCATTTTTAAATCATATTGTTTGTTTATTAAGTTGTATGAGTTATTTGTATATATTCGATAATCACACCTTATCTAGTATATGGTTTGCAGTTATTTTCTTCTATTTTGTAGGTTTCATTTTGTTGATTGTTTCTTTTGCCATGTAGAAGCTTTTTAGTTTTATGTAGTCCCACTTGTTTGATTTTACTTTTGTTAGTGTGCTTTTGGTGTCTCTCGTTGCCAAGACTAATGTCAAGGAGCTTCTTCCCTGTTTTTTTCTTTTTAGTATTGGTATCTTCCTAGTAGTCTTTTATGGTATTTGGTCATATGTTTAAGTCTTTACTCCATTTCTAGTTAATTTTTGTGGGTAGTGTAAGATAGGAGTCCAGTTTCATTTTTCTGCATGTGACTATTCAGTTTTCCCAAGATTGTCTCTTAAAGAGCATATATCTAAGGGTTTAGTACTAGGCTCTCTGTTCTCTTCCATTGTTCTATGTGCCTATTTTTATGCCAGGACCGTACTGTTTTAATTGCTATAGCTTTGTAGTATAGTTTGTAGTATAGTGTGATACCTCCAGTTTTGTTCTTCCGTCTCATGGATGCTTTTGCTATTTGGAGTTTTCGTGGTTTTATACAAATTTTAGAATTGTTTTTTCTACTTCTGTGAAAAATGCCACTGGAATTTTTATAGGTATTGCATCAAATCTATAGATGCCATTGGGTAGTATGGACATTTTAACAGTATAAGTCTTCATTCAGATTCATGAACACAGGATATCTTTCCATTTGTTTGTTTCTTCTTCAGTTTCTTTCATCATAGTTTTGTAATTTTCATTGTACAGATCTTTCACTTCCTTGGCTGAATTTATTCCTAACTATTTTATTGGATTTGGAATAGTTTTTAAAATTTCTTTTTCAGATATTTTGTTATTAGTGAATGGAAGCAACTGATTTCCATATGGTGATTTCTGTATCCTGTAACTTTACTGAATTTGCTGATTAGTTCTGACAGTTTTTTGGTTGAGTCTTCAGGATTTCCTATATACAAGATCATATCATTTGCAAATAACAATTTTACTTTTTTCCTTTCCAAGTTGGTTACCTTTCATTTCTTTGTTTTACCTAATTGCTATGTCTAGACTTCTGATACAGTGTTGAATAAAAATGGTGAAAGTGGGAGCCCTTCTTCCTGATTGTGGAGGAAAAACTTATTGAAAATACTGTGTTCATGGATTGGTAGAATTAATATCACTAAAATGTCCATACTACCCATAGCAATCTATAAATTCAATGCAATCCCTATTAAAATACCAATGACATATTTCACAGATACAGAACAAATAATCCAAAAATTTATATGGAACCAAAAAAGACCCCGAATAGCCGCAGCAATCTTGAGAAAGAAGAACAATGTTGGAGGGACCACAATATTAGATATCAAGTTACACTACAAAGCCACTGTAATCAAAACAGCCTGGTACTTGCGTAAGAACAGACATATACATCAACGGAACAGAACAGAGACCCCAGAAATCGGTCCAAGCCGTTATGCTCAATTAATATTCGACAAAGGAGGCAAGAACATACAGTGGAGTAAAGTTAGTCTCTTCGATAAATGGTGTTGGGAAAATTGGACAGGTATATGCAAATAATGAAACTAGACCACCAGCTTACACTGTACACAAGAATAAACTCAAAATGGATAAAAGACTTAAGTCATGAAACCATAAAAATCCTAGAAGTAAACATAGGCAGCAAAATCTCTGACATCTCATGTAGCAGACTTTTCACTGATACATTGCCTAGAGCAAGAGAAACAAAGGAAAAAAATAAACAGATAGGACTACATCAAACTAAAAAGCTTCTGCACAGCAAAAGAAACCAGCATCAAAATGAAAAGGGAGCCCACTGTATGGGAGAGCATACTTGCCAGTGATACATCTGATAAGGGGTTAATTTCCAAATATATAAAGTATTCATACAACTCAACAAAAGGAAGACAAACAATCCAATTAAAAAATGGGCAGAGGACCTGAATAGACACTTCTCCAAAGAGGACCTACAAATGGCAAAGAGACATGAAAAAATGTTCAGTGGCACTAATCAGAGAGATGAAAATTAAAATGACAGTGAGGCCTCCCACCTTCCAGAACGGCTACCGTCAGTAAATTAACAAGTGCTGTCAAGGATGTGGAGAAAAGGAACGCTGGAACACTGCTGGTGGCAATGCAGACTGGTGTAGCCTCTATGGAAAACAGTGTGGAGTTCCCTCAAAACATTGAAAATGGAACTGCCATTTGACTCAGTGATCCCACTTCTAGGAATATATTTTAAGAAGCCTGAAACACCAATTAGAAAGAATATATGCACCCCTATGTTCATAGCGTTATTTACAATAGGTAAGATCTGGAAACAGCCCAAGTGCCCATCAGTAGATGAGTGGATAAAAAAGCTGTGGGACATTTACACCGTGGAATACTATGCAGCTGTAAAAAAAGTATCTATTACCCTTTGAGATAGTGTGGAAGGACCTGGAGATGATTATGCTAAGTGAAATAAGCCAGTCAGAGAAAGACAAATATCACATGATATCACTAATATCTGGAATCTAATGAACACAATAAATTAATGAATAAAATAGAACCAGAGGCATGGAAACATGGAACAGACTTGACAAGTCTCAGAGGGAAAGGGGGGCGGCGGTAAGAGTGGGAACCCTTGTCTTCTTCCTGATTGTCAAGGAAAAGCTTTTATTCTTTCACTATTGAATATGGTATCAGCTGTGGGTTTTGTGTATATGGTCTTTATTATGTTGAGATATGTTCCTTTTATACCCAATTTGTTGATTGTTTTGTCATGAAAGATGTATTTTGTGAAATAGTTTTTCTGCATCTATTGAGATGGTCTTAATGATTTTTATATTTCCTTCAATTATTGCATTTATTGGTTTGCATATATTGAACCATCTTTGTATCTCAAGGATAAATTACACTTGATCATGTTGAATTTGCTTTGCTAATATTTTGTTGAGAATTTTTGCATCTGTATTCATCAGGGAAATTAGTCTATAGTTTTCTTATCTTGAGGGTAGGGTGGCATGCTGGTGCTGACCTGGCTAGGGCTTGGGTGAACTGGTCGTGGCCTTGGCGACGAGGCTTCCCCTATGCCAGTTGGGGCTCTGGAGAATGGAGGCTGGGCCCTGACGGTTGGTGGGGTAGAAGGCCTGTGGACCCGCTCACCCCATGCAGGGTGGATTCAGCCACAGTGAGGATGGATGTCCTAGAGGAAGAAAGCTTCGTGCTTTCTCTTCTACCTTTGATGCTGTGGTTGGACATTCATGGAGTTCCAGTTACGACAGAAATTTTATGGACAACTAGTACCAGGAGTTTGAAGACACAGAAGAGAATAAACTCACCTACACACCTATATTTAACGAATATATTTCTTTGGTAGAAAAGTGTATTGATGAAGAGCTGCTGGAGCAGATTCCTGGATTTAACATGGCGGCTTTCACAACAACTTTACAGCAGCATAAAGAAGACGTGACTGGGGACATATTTTACATGCTACCGACATTTACCAATTTTCTGGCTTTTAAAGAAATGTTTCTGGACTACAGAGCAGAAGAAGGCTGGGGACTGGACTTACGCAGTGGTTTAGTGGTAACTTCATTGTGCAAATCATCTTTGCTGGCTTCCCAAAACAATCTGTAGTGCTAGGTCCCACCTCCAGGCAATGAGATTGTTCTGGAGAGCGGCTGCCAAATATACTGGGAGAAGCTTCAGCTAATGATGGAAGAATACATCTTGGAAAGACTGGCTCTGTTTTGCAACTCTTCATTAATGTTAAGTATTGATGGGTCAAAAAAATTACCTGACTTTACTATGACCTAGTTCTCCTGAAAAATCTTGTTTGTTCAGTAACACCAATACTTCCCCAAGTAGACTCCTCTCTCAGGGGCTTTTGAGTCAGGCTTCTCTGGAGCAGGCCCCCATTCCACCTGGGGGCCTTTTCCAGCATACATGTTGGTGTGTCAGCAACCACTATCACCAGCCCTCTTTGTTCCAGCAGGCTTTTCATGAGTCTTGGGCAGGCAGAGCTTTTTATATGCATTAACGTTTCAGTCCTCAGTGGGGTTTTTTGACTGTTTGGGACTGTGTATGTGGGTGTTACTGAAGCCAGATGCCTTTCTTGAGATTTCTGGAGCTCCTACTATCACAGCTGGTCTTAACTGGAAATCAACTGAGAAGAGATGTTCTTAACCTAAAAGTTACATGTGAAAATCAGTTCCTAGACTTACATTCGCAGTCCTTGTATCACTGTGTCTTCTGCTGGTCCTGATGGAGTCGCACTGTTTCTAGAAATCTCTTTTAAGCATTTTTGAAAAAATATTTTTGTAGTTGAATACTTAGGCTACCCTAGTAGATATAATCTTGGGATTTCCATGGTTACCCCCTTAAAGATCAAGTATTATGTGCTGTGTGCTTTTTAGTTGATAGTGCTATAAAAACAAAAATGCTTTTTTTATTGTAACACTCCTGTTTTACTGGGCACCAGTGAATGTGTGCTTATGCTGGAAGTAGAGTAACAGGTGTCCTTTTCTTATAGCATGTTAAGTATTCGTGCAGGTTTGCTTAAAACCCTTTCTGTATAAATCAGTTTGTTAGGTTTTCTGTTGGGATAGGGACTCTGCAATTCTTTCTTCCTGTCAAAACCTTCCTACAAAGACAGTGTTCCACTGGTCTAGCTCAGCATAAGTAGAGATAGCAAACAGTTTTTTGGTCATCTGTCTGCCTTGATTTAGTACATTGGCTTAAGTAAAAACAAGAATCTCTACTGGCTTTTCTCTTGGCTTTTCTGGTTTTAAAGCAGGGGTGGGGAATGTCCAGCCTGCAAAATCGTTTTGCCTGGCCCTGCCAAGGCAACCACAGACGGGACTTGATATTCAGTAAATCTAGGAGCTTTTTTCATAGCTGATTTTTAAGTTGATAATTTTGTATGGCTCACGAATGATGTTATAAATATCCAAATGGCCCTTGGTAGAAAAAAAGGTTCCCCACCCATTTTAAAGGATGAGCTACAGATTAGGTGTTTTTTGTACTGATAATGGTGCTTATCACTTTTGTGCCATGAGTTAAAAACACCACCACCAAAGGCCCTGGCTGGTTGGCTCAGTTGGTTTAGAGCATTGTCCTGATACACCAGGGTTAAGTCAGTGCACATACAAGAAGCAATAAATGCGTAAGTAAGTGGAAAAACAAATCAATGTTTCTCTCTCTCAAAAATCAATCAGTAAAAGAAATGAAACCTTATTTAGCTGTACAGTGTACCTTACATTTTCACATATTATTTCACTCATTACATAAAATATACCCGTGAAATGGAACTGATTGTCTTATTTTATTATAATGAATTAACGACAAAAATATTTTTCTTAAAATTGTCCTAAAATGGTTTACATAGTAGTCTTCACTTCTCATTCTCAGGATGTCATCAGAAAAAAAAAGAACAGCCACTTAAAGTGTTGCTATTCTTTAAAATGCTTTTAAAAGATTTTATATATGAAATTATTGTTTATTAATAAAAAAATCATATTTCTTGTTCTTTTAGATTCTGGTTCTTTAAATTTGCTGCAGCAATAGCAATTATTATTGGGGCTTTCTTCATTCCAGAAGGAACTTTTACAACTGGTAAGATAATATATTTCTTTAATTGTGTGATGATGCTTTTATTAAAGAAACAAATAATTGCTTGGAACTGTAACGCTACTTGTTTTGTTTTGTTTTCTCTTAGTTGGCAAAATCAAAGCATTTATGTAAAATACTATTTTCCCCTTGGAGTATTGTGATTGTGACAATGAAATAATAAAAATTCAATGAGCCACTCATTTGTATGTGTGTTGTTTTTTCTTTCAGTGTGGTTTTATGTAGGCATGGCAGGTGCCTTTTGCTTCATCCTCATACAGCTAGTCTTACTTATTGATTTTGCCCATTCCTGGAATGAATCATGGGTTGAAAAAATGGAAGAAGGAAACTCAAGATGTTGGTATGCAGGTAAGTTTTTATCTTACAGAATATCTTCAAGATAGTTGAATTTTGAAGATGGGAGCAGATATGTAGACTATAGAGAAATCATGATTTTTATGGGTTTAATTTTTTTATGAAGAGGTTTATGTATATCAGTAACACTAAAAGAATTCTTATTGTAATTGTTTATTAATGATAATGAACTTGAGTCCTATGGTTATACTGTAAAATAGATGAAAATTCAAATGCTTACAACACATAATAAAAATGGAGGAAAAGAGCCAGGTTTAAGTTTCTTTTCAGTCCTTGTAAAAATAGTAGAGACTGATGTTTTGGAGACTATGAAGGCCTTGTTTAAAGAGCATAGCTGTTGCTCATTTCCATCCTATAGTTGCCCTGTGGAAATGTGAACCCAGTGTTGCTTAATTTTTCTGATTTTATTTTTCAAAAAAGCCATAAATCTAGCTTTAATGTTAAATGGTCTGAGTTTCAGCTAAAAAATATTTTAAATCAAAATGAAAGGTAAGTCCAACATACCTGTTAGCCTAATGTTTCTCTCACACAACTAGCTTGTGGTATTTTATCTCAGTCGTTAAAATAGGAGAGTTTGCTATTCAAAGAAATAAGCTTTAGTCATTTGGAAAATTCACTTATATAGAATATGTCAGTCTTTAATGTTAAGTCTAATGTAAGAGTTTTTGTTTTGTCCTCTTGTTGTGTCCCCAGGGCCTAGAATGTTGTAGGCATTTAAATATTTGTTGGATAGATCCCCTGTCCTTGATTTATATATACATAAATGTGTATATATTAAGCATACATAGCACAAAACTAAAATACATTGTGTATGTTGAAATTTATTTAGAAGAAACTTAGGCTACCTTATTAAATAATAATGACTTACTCTTTCATAACAAAAATTAAAGATTTTAGTTGAGGAAAAGCATTGTTTTATGGGCTTATTAGCATTGACAATGAAAATAATTTTGTTTCAAATGCCTTTATTTACAACTAAACAATTATGGTTCTTTAAAAACCTTAAGTAGGCTAGCCACAGCAATCAAACAAGAAGAAATAAAAGACATTCAAATTGAAAAGAAAGCAAGTAAAGCTGTCATTGCAGATGAAATGATACTGTATATAGAGAACCCTAAAGATTTGATCAAAAAAACTACTAGAACTGATAAATGAATTCAGTAATGTAGCAGGATATGAAGTAAATATCCAGAAATCAGTTGCATTTTAATACACCAGTAATGAACTATCAGAAAGGGAAGCTAAAAAGCAATCCCATTCATAATTGCTTCAAGAATAAAATACCTAGAAAAAAATTTAACCAAGGATGTCAAAGACCTGTACTCAGAAAATTATTATAAGACACTGAAGAAAGAAATTGAAGAAGATACAAATGAGTGAAGTGTATACCGTGTTCTTGGATAGGAAGAAACATCATTAAAATGTCTATACTACCCAAAGCAATCTATAGATTCAGTGCAGTACCTATGAAGATATCAATGCTATATTTCATAGAACTAGAACAAATATTTCAAAAATTTATATGAAACCACAAAAGACCTCAAATAGCAACAGCAATCCTGAGAGAGAATAACAAAATTGGAAGAATCATGTTACCTGATATGAAACTATATTACAAGGCCATAATAATCAAAACAGCATAGTACTGCCATAAAAACAGACATAGAGATCAATGGAACAGATTAGAAAGCCCAGAAATGAACCCACACCTTTATAGTCAATATTTGACAAAGGAGGCAAAAACATAAAATGGGCTAAAAATAGCCTTTTCAATAAATGGTATTGGAAAATTGGACAAATACATGCCAAAAAAAATGAAACTAGACCCACCCTCTTACACTGCACACAAGCATAAACTCAAAATGGATTAAAGACTTTTAAATGATAGATGTGAAACGTTAAAAATCCTAGATGAAAACTATAGGCAGTGAAATCGCAGACATTTCTCGTAGCAATGTTTTTTCTTATATATCTCAGGCAAGTGAAACAAAAGAAATAAATGGAATTACATCAAACTAAAAAGTTTTTGCACAGCAAAGGATAGTAGCAAAATGAAAAGAACCCACTGAATGGGAGAACATATTTGCCAGTACATCTGATTAATATCCAAAATTTCTAAAGAACTTTTAAAACTCAACACCAAAAGAACAAACAATCCAATTAAAAAATGGGCCAAGGACCTGAATAGACACTTCTCCAAAAAGGACATACAGATGGCCAATAGACATATGAAAAGATGCTCAACATCTCTATCAGAGAAATGCAAATTAAAACCATAATGAAATATCACCTCACACCTGTCAGAATGGCTATTACCAATAAGTCAACAAGAAGAAGAGTTGGTGAGGATGTGGAGAAAAGGGAACCTTGTACACTGTTGGTGGAATGCAGATTGGTACAGCCACTGTGGGGGGCACTGTGGAGATGCCTCAAAAAATTAAAAACAGAACTGCCTTATGACCCAGCAATTCCACTTCTGGAAATAATCTGAAGATACCCAAAACACTAATTCAAAAGTATATATACACTCCTATGTTCATTGCAGAGTTATTTACAATAACCAAGATTTGGAAGCAGCTCAAGTGTCCATCAGTAGATCAGTGGATAAAAAAGCTGTGGGACATTTACACCATGGAGGAATACTATGCAGCTGTAAAAAAAAAAAAAGATCTCGTACCCTTTGGGACAGCATGGATAGACCTGGAGAGTATTATGCTAAGTGAAATAAGCCAATCAGAGAAAGACAAATACCATATTTCATTCATTCATATGAGGAATTTAATAAACTAAACTACTCAGCAAAACAGACTCAAGATAGCAGGCAGACAGCTTTGATGGGGGAAAGGGGTTGGGGGAAGGAGGAAGTGAGCAAAAAAGAGAAAACTCATGGACACAGCCAACAGTGGTGATTGTGGGTTGGGGAGAGGGTGGGTGGAGATGTAAGCAGCTAAAGGGATAAATGGTGATGGGGAAAAAATAGATTAAAAAAACCTTAAGTAATACTCCCCTTCTAGTTATTTTTCTGTATTTTGAAAATAATGTTTAGTGTATGAGAATGTGTTTTATAAGCCCTGTGATTACTATTAATAACAACCACATTAGTATGTTACTAGAAAACATCTAATTGTGAGCTGTGTGTAAACACTATAAAACTATTCTGTTATAAAGTTCAGAATTAATATTTTTCCTTCCTTTTATAGCCTGCATAATGCTGACAGTGTTAGTTGCTTAAGTGTATTTTGAGTAAAACATTATTTTAAATAAAGCCTATGCCTAATTTCTAATATTTGTGATAAAATCTAATTGTCCAATTGTATTTCTTTCACAGCTTTGTTATCAGCTACAGCTCTGAATTATCTGCTGTCTTTAGTTGCTATCGTCTTGTTCTTTGTTTACTATACTCATCCAGCCAGTTGTTCAGAAAATAAGGCCTTCATCAGTGTCAACATGCTCCTCTGCCTTGGTGCTTCTGTAATGTCTATACTGCCAAAAATCCAAGTATGCTCTTTATATCATTAGTTTGTATGAAGCTTCTATTTTTCTGAGTTTTCCTAAGTCTTGAATATTTATCTCCATTGCTTATTTTTTGTAGGAATCACAACCAAGATCTGGTTTGTTACAGTCTTCAGTAATTACAGTCTACACAATGTACTTGACATGGTCTGCTATGACCAATGAACCAGGTACGTTTTTTTGCTTGGCTTTATTTATTTTTAATCAATCCTGCAACTTTTTTTTCCCCCCAAAGATGGTCACTTTGTGAAATTAAGCTATTTAAAATTTAAGAAAGACAAATGTATGATTTCACTCATATGTGGTATATAAAGACAAACAAAAGAACAAACGGAGACAGACAACAGATGGTTACCAGAGGGCAAGGGGTGCTAGAGGGAGGGCATATTGGATAAAGGGGATCAACTGTATTGTAGGTGAGAAGATGGTTATATTTCTAGAGCAATAAAGAGTATGGAAATAATACCCATGTTTGATGCATTGCTATATATTTTTTAATTTCTTTCACTAACAAAATTATAAGAAGTTATATGAAAATTATAAGAAATGTAACTAATTTTCCCAGTGCATATGATATGAATAAGAAGAAATAAAAGTGGTTCAAATGCTTCTTAATTCAGTTGTAGACACTAACAGTTTTTTTCACTGAAGTTATTCTTTTTGTCTTTTATTACCTAGCAAGTGAATAGAATTGGGCTTTGTAATGAATCTGTAGATCAATTACATTGCATTTCATGGGAATACAAGCCAATATATGTCACTTGAGTTGAAACAAATTGGTGAGAAATTATTTTTTTAAAAGGAAGAAAATAGTCTCTTTTCCTTTAAAATAACTATAAAATGTTATCTGAATCACATTTCATTGAATTTACAAACTCTAGGTGCTTTATCACTAGTTGGAGAAAGGGTTTTTGGTTTTTTTAGTATATTAGAGAAAGAGCCATTATTAATTTTGTCTAGGTAAGTGGTTAGAAAAACAATATTGATTTTGAAATTATCCGTATCTGAATGGCTTTAAGATAAGAATAATCTTCATTAATAAGATGGTGATTGACATACCCTGCTTGGTGAGAAAAAAACAACATATTTTGGAAATTTCACTGAATACTTTACCAACCCTACTTTAATTCTTTCTTAGAAGAGTTAAGAAACTGAGTAACCCTCAGGTCATTAGAGCATATAATCTTCATTTCCACAAAGCATTTCCTAGAATTTAATAACTGGTATTATGTGTAAGCTATCTTGCTTTTATAACAATGTACTTTGACAAGTTGATAGAGTTCTTAAAGTCAGTAGAAACTGCTGGTATATGACGGCATATATTAAAAGCCAATGCATTTTGGTTTAGAATACTTGAATTCTATTCCTGAGTCATCTAGAGATTTATCCTTAGAGAGCTTAATATTTCTCAGCTCTGCATGAGGTTGAAAATGAAATTATTTAACTTTTCAAGCACTTCTATAAAATTAGCAATATAAAACTTGAAAGGTTTCATTATTAATACAAATACTAGTTGTTTTAAAATATTTGTTACACTTGTTCTGTTTTCCAGAAAGCCTTTTGAATTTGTAAGGGTATAAAAAGTTAAAAGGAACTACAATTATACCTTGAAAAATACATTTTTCATACTATTTTAACATTTTAATTTGACCTTAATTTACATTGCAGAAACAAATTGCAACCCAAGTCTACTGAGCATAATTGGATACAACACAACAAGAACTGTCCCAAAGGAGGGACAATCCGTCCAGTGGTGGCATGCTCAAGGAATTATAGGACTAATCCTCTTTTTATTGTGTGTGTTTTATTCAAGGTAAGAAAAATTATGGAATTTTTTTTAACAAGAAGTCTAGATATTCATTTATACATAATTTTTTAATGCCCCTTTTCTCTCTTTTTAAACTGTCATTCAGCATCCGTACTTCAAACAATAGTCAGGTTAATAAACTGACTCTAACAAGTGATGAATCAACATTAATAGAAGATGGTGGAGCCAGAACTGATGGATCACTTGAGGATGGAGATGATGTTCACCGAGCTGTAGATAATGAAAGGGATGGTGTCACTTACAGTTACTCCTTCTTCCACTTCATGCTTTTCCTGGCTTCCCTTTATATCATGATGACCCTTACCAACTGGTACAGGTACTTATATTTTGTGAAAACTTTGCATTTAGAAATTCTGATAGCTTTTTCTTTTTTTTCCCCCAAATATGTTTTTATTGATTCCAGAGAGAGGGAGGAAGAGGGAGAGACAGAAACAAACATCAGTGATGAGTGTCATTGATTGGCTGCCTCCTGCACACCCCCCATTGGGGATCAAGCCTGAAATCTGCGCATGTACCCTGACCGGGAATCGAACTGTGACCTGGTTCATAGATCAGTGCTCAAACATTGAGCCATACAGGCTTGGCATGATAGCTTTTTCTTAATTCCATTGCAAAGTATGGTGTGAAGTACTTTTTAACCTTCAGTGTATTTCAAAATTTATAGCAAAATGAATATTGAGATCAGTGTGCAAAATGCAGACTTCTGTGCTTTTGTGATAACATTAAAATATTTCCAAATTCAGTAGAGATTAAAATAGATATTTTCATGAAACTGACATTTCTTACAGAAATACTTGGTAGTTGATCCAATAGTTTATTTTTCTTATTTTTTAAATACTGTAACCACTTCTCGACAACATACAGTAAAAGATATGTCTTCTGTTTTGTTCAAACCTTGTCATTAAGGCTTTAAAATTGAAGTGTGAATACATTAGTGTAGATAGATCCATAGAACCTCTTTAAAGCTAATCTGTTTTTTTTATCACTTTAAAACTAATCCGTAAATCTGTTTCTGGTAAGAGGAATGTAGCAATTTATATTGTTTTTGAAAATTCAAATTTTGTCCAAATGATTAGTGGAAGATTTGATCTGAGATTCAAGGTGAACTAGATGTTTTGGGCAGTTCTGTTTTTAATAATTTTTAATGCATAATACCTTTAACTTGTAATAAGACTAATTACCAGCAAAAGATTTAGAAAAAAGTCACTCTGCTTCATTTCTTTGAGAGCAGCCTTTTACTGGCATTTACTATTGAAAAATAAACATTTTTTTAAATTCCTACAATGCAACATACTAAGCTGTAAGAATCCACATAGTTCTCAATAATTCAGTTTTGGGTCTCAGGTAATAAGAGTAAATGTTAAGACTTTAGATCAAAAATATATTTGGTATGTTTCATTAACACAAAAATCAGCTAAGTTTGGGATGTATTTCCTTCCCAGTCTTAAATCTGAGAGGGAGATGGGAGGAAGGGGGGAGTTTCCAATGTATGCTTTGAACAGATTATACTCGTTATACAGGATAAGATTGGTAAGTCTTTTGTGTTATAACAACATCTAGGGGTCACTCTCCGTTTCTCTGCTATGTCAGAACCACTGAGCTAGAAATACACAAAAAGCCTCTGAGTATTATATAAAAAAACTACTTTAGATGCCTGTGTCTTTTACTCCTTTAAAGAAAATTACTGATTTTTACCTTCACATTGTTAAAGTTAGTGAGGAAAGCAAGGCAGCAGATTAGTCAGCAACTATATTATTGTTATCTACAAACTGTATACAAGAAAACTTCTGAAGTAATGAAGTAGCTTGATGGCTGGTAATTCAACACTTCCCCTTTCTGTTTTCTTTAAACTTCAGGTATGAGCCTTCTCGTGAGATGAAAAGTCAGTGGACAGCTGTCTGGGTGAAAATCTCTTCTAGTTGGATCGGCCTTGTACTGTATGTCTGGACACTGGTGGCACCACTTGTTCTTACAAATCGTGATTTTGACTGAATGTCTGGCATGAGAGTCCCAGTTTGATCACTGCTTATTTGAGGTTAACAGTATTTCCAGTTTTTGTAAAGTTGTGTATGTGTGCGCTTCCCATGAAACTTCTCCAGTGTTTTGGCATGAATTAGATTTTACTGCTTGCCATTTTATTCATTGTATTCTTGCCAAGCGCATTGATAGGTGTGTTAGAATGAATCACAGAGGTTTTATGAGTATGGTGGTAAGATAGGAAAAGTGGACATTGTTAGGTTTAACCTGTTCCATACATGTGAAAATAATAGATAAAAGACCTACTTGACAATTTTTTAAATTGTGTTACAACTTAAGCTGTCTTAGAAAGAATAAAAGGAAGAGTATGGCTGCCTTTTGAAATACTTGATGCCTTGCCCTATGGGAGATTGCAAAGAACCATTTAAAAATTATATAAAGTCACTTAAACAACAGTTGTCTGGAAGATCTTTTCAGGTTTTTCCCTTGATATAAAGGTAGGAAACTTAAACAAGTAGGGAGTGTTTGATAGACAGCAAGGTAGGTTATGATGGAGATTGAGACAGAGACTTCAAAGAGACTCAGGTTGGTGGTAGGTACTAAATAGAATACTCAATTAGGTTAAATCTTCCTTGAGGAGGGATCGCCCTTCCATACCAACACAGTGAACTTTGTTTTGGTCATTATAAACATGCAAAAGTATGGGCTTAATGGAGATCTTAGGAACTATGAAGGATTTAGACAAAGGTTTTGAAAAGGATAATCATGAATGAGAAGGAAGTTGTTGAAAATCACTTTCAAAGTTTGTTTTGAAAATCAAAGGTGGTAAACTTTTGACAGGACAGCAAGAAACTGCAAAATACTAGGCTTCAGTACTTAGACAAAATCCAGTCCAGTCCTCCCGTTTTAAAAATGAAGCAACTGAAGCGGACTTAAAACACCTCAGGTAGCTAATTAGTGGCAAAGCTGGCAGTGCGAAGTCTGACATTCTTTCTGGCATTCAAAACTGATTTCTTCAGAGTATGTGCAAAGTGGACTTTACACCTGAGCAGTGGTGGGCAGTTTATGTGATGTGGATGGCCGGTACCCAGCTTGCCTTCTGCCTGTAAACCGAGATCATGAGAGTGATGGAATGCTGTAGAATAAACTCCTGCTTATAATATACTATACAGTTCAAAAGATGTTTAAAATGCTCTTGTATATGCTGCCATCTAATTAATATATATAGGTTATAATCTTAAAAATAAAACAGTATAACAGCTAATTAGAAACTCTTAGTTACTTGTGTCATTTAGTGGTGTCTTAGTCTTAAAAGTCTACCTTTGCTTTTAATGTATTTATTAATTTAAATGAAATGTAACAACTTAATTCCCCCACTTTTTTCTGTGTTGATATTGTGTTCCATGATTTGAATGACTGTATTCTCTCTAAATAAATGAATTCAGAGGAAGTGTGCAGGGTGTTTTTTATCAAATTGAGGTGGCTGTAAATACTCAGACCTTCATTCCTACTGTGTATAAAATAACCTGACACTAGAGGCTTAATTGACCATTTTCTGTCCTGAAAAATTGAATTGTTTTAAAGGTGATATTTACCCTTTTTTTCCTCTGAAAGTAACCCCTGAAATTGGATCTCAAAGGTAATTAAAGTGGTGTTCTCACCCTAAAGAACCTGTAGGTGGACCAGTTTAGTTTGGAGAATATTTTTAATTCACTTGACAGACAATTCTATTCTATACTTCTGTGTCCTCCAGTCATTTTTTCCCTAAGTTGCCATTTGATGCTGCTGCTCTTATTCTTAGGGTAGTATTTAAACAACCCAATCAAAAAGTGGGCAGAGGGCCTGGACACCTCTCCCAAGAAGACATACGAACAGCCAGTAGACATATGAAAAAGTGTTCACCCTCACTAGCAGTTAGGGAAATGCAAATCAAAACTCCAGGGAGCTACCACCTCACACCTGTGATCAGCAAGATAAGCAATAAGGTGTTGGGGAGGTTGTGCAGAAAGGGACCCTCATTCACTGCTGGTGGGAATGTAGACGGTAAAACCACTATGGAAAGCAGTTTGGCGGTGCCTCAAAAAGTAGTAAAGCTACCATACAACCCAGGAATCCCTCTCCTGGGTATGTACCCAAAAACTCGAAAACGTATTCAAAAAGATATATGCGCCCCCCCAAAATATATATGCTCATTGCAGCATTATTCATGGTGGCCGAGACATGGAAACAACCAGTGTCCTGCAGAGGGCTGGATGAAGGAGATGGCCGTTATACTACTCAGCCATAAGGAAGGAAGTACTGCCATTTGCAACACATGCATCTTGAGAATACTACGCTAAGTGAAACGTCAGAAAAAGCTGAGAACCATATGATTTCACTCATGTGGGATAACAAACTTGTGGACACAAACAGCAGTGTGGCGGATGCCAGAGGGAAGGGGGTGGGGGTTGAAGGGCATCTTAAAATATGGTGATGGGAGAAGATATGACTGGGTGGTGGCCATACAGAGCAAGGTATAGATCTAACAGAAACACCTGAAACCTGTATGTTCATATTAACCACTGTCGCCCCAATAAATTTAAAGTATTGCTCCTGCTGTGAATTTCAAAAAAAAACACAAAAAACATAGTAAAATGCTCTATTACATATGAATTATCAAGTTTTATTACGTTTAATAACTCATTTGAAATGGTCCGAGTCTCTCCAACATTATACACAAAACAATGTCCACACAACTCTTGGATATTTACCCAGAGAAACTAATGCTCACACAAAAAACTACATAAGTGTTCATGGCAGCTTTATTGGTAATAACCCAAACTGGAAAGAACCCAGATGTACTTCAACAGGTGAAGGTTTAAACACAGTAGTACATCCATGTCATGAAGTACTACTAAACTATAAAAAAGTGACTATTGGTACAACTTCAACGGATCGCCAGGGCTGTATGCCGGGTTAAAAAAGCCAGTCCCAGAAGGCCCATACAGGATGATGCTGCTTATATAGCATGCTTGCGGCGATAAAATTATAGAAATGGAGAACAGATTACTGGGTCCCCAGAGTCAGAGGTGAAGGGGCAGGAGTCCTTGTAGATGAGTCACATGTTTAGTTTTATAAAACATTGCAAAACTACTTTCTAGAGTGACAGTAGCATTTCACGTTCACATCTTTGATGTATGAGTTCAGTTTCTCTGTACTTTCACCAGCATTTGGTACCACTCTTATTTTAGCTGTTCCGATAGAAATGTGATACCTCATTGTGGTTTTGATTTGCCTTTCCCACATGGCTAATGTATAGTATCTTTTCATGTGCATACTTGTCATCCATGTGTACTCTTTATGTCTTTTGGCTATTTTCTAATCAGATTGGTTTATTTCTGTTAAGTTTGAGAGTTCTTTATATATTCTAGATACTTGTCCTTTATCAGATATGTAGTTTGAAAATATTTTCGCCCAGTACATAGCTTTGTCTTTCCATCCTCGTAACGGTCTTTTGTAGAGCAAAAGCGTTTAATTTTCATTAGATTCAGCTTATCAATTTTTAATAAGACCTTAAATGTTTCAATTAATTATTGTCTCGCTGTTCCTATGTTCGACTTGTATTTGGCCAGTATTACCCCTTTTAGTACTGCCCGGTGACATCTCTCAAAGTATCCCCATTTACTGTGCAAAAGCTATAGCATTCCTTCACTCTTGATTTTCTAAGGTATATAGCATAAAGAGAGCTTGTTTACTTTTTAGTGTATTAGAACCAACAGGATATGTATATGGAATTGTCACGCTGACTACAAGGGCTGACAAGTCTAAAATCTGCAGCTGGCAGACAAAATCACAAAAGACTGGTGTGTGTAAGGCAATGGCACCATGGCTGCTTGGGTTGTTTTTGAGGGAGCATTGGAGGTATTGTACAACCTCTGGGCTCACAGGAACGTTCCCTTTGACATTCCAATCCAAGTCAAGGTTAACAATGAAAAGTTAACCTTGATAGCATGTACCTTGATATATGTTGAAAATGATACTTCACCTCTGTTCTTTCCCAAAACCCAGCACCCCAGTCTAATCATGAAAAAAAATCAGGTAACCCCAAATTGAGGGACACTGCAAAACACCAGGCACTGTTCCACAAAACTGTCAAGGTCTAGCTTATTTGTATTGTAGTCTGTTTGACACCAATTCCTTGAAATTTGATTATTTGCTTTATAGCCTAATGCACAACCAGTTCTCAAAAAAATTTCATGTATGCTTGAAACAAAGGTCTAAGTGCTAATTCTTAAATGTAGCGTTCTATACATGTTCATCAAAACGACATACAACAAAATACTTCCAGTATTACACATTAAAATGTGTTCCATACATACATTTAAGAAAGACTAATAAAAACAATATATTTTCCAATCTGCTTATGTGAGAGGAAAGAAATCCTAGAGAAAATCCATGCAGGCATGGAGAAAACATGCAAACTACACAGTGGCCCCAACTAAGAACTGATTTCTTTTCCTCATCAGCTTAAAACGAAACAAAAAGTGAACAAAGTATTATTTGAGGACGTGCTGTAGTGACACACCCTAAAAAGAACATTTAGTTCTCTAAAGTTCTCTCTCCTCTCAGTCTCTCAACTCTTTCTCACCTGAAAACCTATACGAAAGCTTATGCGGAACTGTTCTGAGGCCTTTAATTAGTTCACAAGATCCCACTCTCTGAGCCAAATATTTCAGGATCTGCTAAGAAAGGGTTTCCTATCCCTCTGTGCTAGGCTTTACTCTGCTCTTTTACATCATAAAAAGAGAAATTCCAAGATATTAAGAGACAGAATATGGCCAATAGGGAAGTCATCTGTGTAATTCCTCATCAATAAGCCCTATAAAATACTCAGACATTAGCCATACTGCTTCTGGCCCCCTGCCTGTCTTTAAGTGATAAAAGAGGTGGCCTTCTCTTGCATTAAGTCTCTATAGTCTCTGAGCACCTCTGAGTTCCAAAAGGTGTAGCTGATGTGACTTTCTCTTACCTTCTCTCAGAACAAAAATTATAGGCCCTTAGTGGCATCCAGTGATAATGTTCTTTACTCACTTGGAACAATGAGAGGCATACTTCTAAGTTCTTTATTAGAAACAGAAAGCAAGTCACTATAATTTTTAAACCAAGAACTATAAAACACATTAAGTTTAGAGACTTTATATTCCTCCCTTATTGCAATACACAGTTTATCTTTTGAGATGAGGCACAAAATTCATGGTGTAACTCATATTAAGAATGGATAACAGACTCAATTTTTACAGTTTCAGTCTATCTACTTCCTATGAAAAGAAAAAAATGGTACACGTGGGTGTCATCTCCAAAGAAGACACATAACAGACACTAATATGCAACATTCATTATATTTATTTTACTAAATATTATGGTTCAAAAAAACAAACCAAAAAACTTTTACTTAAAACTAGTCCAAGTAGGTGGATTGGGCTGACACGATCCCACCCCCTTCCTTCTATGTATACAGAACTGGAACCATATCAGACATCAAGCACTCATGTATACTTTGCCTTTCCTGTTGAACATGAACTTCTCTGAACCGAGAGACAAATGAAATTTTACAAGATACAGGCACTTTATGTTCCCAGTTTTAGAAATAAGCCAAGTGAAAAATACTTAGTAAAAGTAACAGGAACAGAGGAAAGCTTTAGGAGCTCTACCATTAATTTTAGTGACTTACACTCAATGCAAACAGACAGCATCAAACAAGTAAAACAAAAGTTTAACTGGGGTTAATGGGCATATATATAAAAAATAATTCAAATTTACTACAATTGGAAAAAAATGCCCATATAAATCCAACTTAAAGATGTGCAATAATGTACATTAAATCTTGTGTACCTACATAGCTGAGTAACATATGAAAGCTTTGCAAGACTGTGTGGTTAGTGAGAAAAGCAAAAGGTGCTTTTGATTCCACAGTATCCAATTAAACAGAACAAAGCAATTTACAAAAAAAAAAGGTACCAAATAATACTTTAAAATAAATAGTTCATCATTTTGATGAATATATACATAGAGTCCACTTCTTGGGAATTTAGCTATCTAAAAGTGGCATATCACTATCCAGAGGTGCAGGAGCAAGTTCACATAAATAGAACAGAGTGGCTTCACTAGCTTCGGCTTCAGTCAACGGCTCCAGGCGAACAAGCTTACTTTGGGTTGGTTCTGGGTCCAGGCTGCTATCCAGAAGCTCATCAACTTCTATGGGTTTATCTACAGAGGACAGAACTTCTGATGATGCTGTGCTCCCCTGTTCAACAGCAGAAGCAGGGTTCCCATCAAGGAATGCAAGAAGTGGAAAGGCAGTGTACTGGATAAGCTGTTTATCTATAACAAAGATTAGAAAAAAGCTTTTATCACCAGCTGATACAGAGTTCAATATGAAAAGTAGAAAAAACAAAAACAGAGATGTGCTTATATGCAATCACTAACCCAACAAAATAAGAAAGATATTTGTCAGTAAATTAAAAATTGTTCAAGTCAGAAGTCTTTTATTCAACAATTAAGAAATGAAGGTTCTTTCAGTTCTCCTAAAATTAAGTAGGAAAACAATTTTTTTAATAACATTACCTCACCAATTCAATTTTCTCTGTATGCTGGAACCTTGACACATTATGCATAGAACTGAGATCAATACATTCTATGTCCAACTGTTAAGGCAAGAATTTCACTGGCATGAATTAGTTTCTATGTAAGCCTCCTAATTTTGACAATCTATAGAAACTAGTAATACATTTATACCTACCTGTTTTGGGCTTAGATTTTCTCCCCTCTTCTGAAACTGGCTGAATTACATTGTTCTTGGTAGTTTCTAATCCTTTATTCTCAGACTAAAAGAGAGAAAAATAACAAAAGTACTTTTTCATATTTTCTATGTTCCTGAAAACAGCAAAAAATAAAAAAACTGGTACATGAATACTGGTATATTATCTGACATATACAGGAAGGGGGAGCATCAGGAAAGATGGACTAGAGAGAGAAAAGAGATTTGAATAGAATTAACAAGATTGGTTAAGAAACGATTGCTGTCATCAAGTGGATGAAACAAAGATCCTGAACTAGGATGACAATAAGTATGAAAAGGAAGGGGCATTTCAACAGCAGAAGAGACAGAACTTGTCACGGATAAAAGACGGGAACAAGTCAAAGATGGCTGGTTTCAAACTTCTAATTAAGAGATCATTCTTTAATTTTAAAGTGTTCATTAAAAATATATTACACATTTCTCTTCATTCACAGAGTAAATGAACACATTTATAGTAGTTGAGGGTAACATGGTGAAATCCTAACACTATTTATCCCTATATTTGGAAGCCTCAAAGTTGAGGTGGTTCTTCGTTTCCTTTATGTGGCTCTTTCCGTTCTTTTCTGTCATTTAAATTGCTTCTTTCAACCAGTGTCTTCTCTCCTTACATGTGATTGTAAGGGAATTAAATCTCTAATGCTGTTAAATTCTTCAATGCCCCTTTCAACGATGTTCAAAGTGAAGTGCAGAGGTTCACAATTTCTCCTAAATAGCTGTAAGTCCCATATAGCTGCATGCTGGTTAGTTATATATGGTGTAACAAACATACTAATTCCTGTAATTCCCTGATATTGTAAAATAAAGCAGTATGAGTTTCCAGGATACAGAGAGAACAATGCCAAGATGTAATAAAAACTTATACCTTTCCAAAAATTTACATAAAAATATTTCTCCTTTAGCATTCACAATAAACATTAAAGCAATATTATTATTTTTATTTTTATACTTCTTAAAATAGGTATTTTCCAAGGATACCACTAAAACATGAGAGAACCAGGATGGCAAATGGGTTTCAGCTCCCATGCAAATGCTCATTCATTAGTAGTGGCCACTTAGATTCCTGTATTGAGGAGTATAAGGTATCCTGATTTATTAGGAAAGAGTCTTGTAATCCATGCCACATAATACCTGTCATGAGCAAAGGAGTAACAGTTGATGTGCGAATTATTTGAAAACGTTAATCTAGATTCTAGAACTATAATGAAAAGTTGCTCTCAAATTTAATTTTTCTATAGTATTTTGGAGCAATATGCCAACTGCTATTTCTGAAAATTGTATTTAAGCTATTGGTTTGTGGAATAGGGAGGAGATCCAAGAATAAAGAATGACTCAATGTCTACAAAATATAAACAGCATATCACATTCATTAAATAAATGCATGATATGGGTTCACTCAACTTAAGGGCTGACATTCAATAATATCATACTTACTGAAACACAGTGAGATGGTCCATAGAACCTTACAACATAAATCTAGGCAAACTATAGTCCACATGCCAATTCAGCCTGCTGCCAGCTTTTGTAAATAAAGTTTTATTAGAGCTAAGCCACACTCGTTCTTTTATGTACTGTCTACGGCTACTTTTACATCATTACAGAGTTGAGTAGTTATGACAAAAGAACACATGGCCTGCAAAACTGAAAATATTTACTAACTGGCCTTTACAGAAAAAGGTCTGCCAACCCATAACATAAATCATCCAAAACTGAATGTATAATCAACTTTCTGGTTTAAAGTTCACAAATTCTTTCAACTCTAAGTTATCCAGGCTATAACATCTGAAAATGTAAAAAACCTGGTTAGGCTATCCTTAAGTGTGGTAATAGTCAGAAAAACTGTACCCCCTCCTCACTATAATCACTCATATTTATTTGATATGTGTTCATTTTTAAACTATATTTGATTCCATTAATATAGAATTTGTACAAATTTCAGATGACTTGATTTACCTTTGTAATCCATGAAAAACAGAGGTTACTAAACAATTTGGTATAAACACAAGATAAATGGAGTATATACCTATTCGAGACAATAAGCAGCACAAAGTAATAATTTCTTTATGTCTACTCTAAAATCCTCAAATTGTCCCTTATTACACATAAAAAACCAGTTTCAAAGAATTTCTTATTAACACGTGCTAATCCCAACTGGACTTCCTACACCTTTAAGAAAATAACAAAAAAAACATTACTTAAACTTTGTTTCAATTTGCCTTTACTATGAAATTAGTACAGATCCCTGAGCTTTTACTACATTCTAATAAAATGAAGAAACTTACTTAAGAATACAGGTACCAGTAAATTCTCAATAAAAAACGCTGAGAAGTTTATAGAAGAAGAATGCAAAACGAAGCACATAAAACATAAAGAAATCATATTTTAATAATTTATTTCAGTGATACAACCTGATCATGCTAAGTTTAATCACGTGATCTCCCAGCACTTTGAGGGCTGATTTCATAATGGTAGCTAATTGCACAAGTGCCAGTGAAACTGGGTAATGATTTACCCCATAACAAAAAGCTAATTTTTCATCGAGAATTTTACTATCTTGATTGCACATTTTAGTTAATATAAAATGCTTTGTAACTGGGAGTGGTATTACTCTATGCTTACTAGGACTTTTAAAAAATTCTTATAGCTATGGGTCCTGAGCAACGTGAATTAAAACTTACTTTTGTATTATTGATGTAATCTGTGGGATTCATCTGCACAGAACTAGTGAAAAGCTGAAAGACCAAACAAGAAAGATAAGTTTAAAAAATATTTTAAAAACTAACTGTGTTCAAAATTTTATACAGCCATGTTGAGTGAAGAGATGTAGTTCCTGCACTAGGAAGTTTCCATAAGTAAAATAAGTTTGGAAGAGAAAAGCACGAAAGCAGAAAGAAAAATAAACAAAAGCAGAGCAAGCTAGCCCATGCATTAGAATGCATGTAAGAATTTATCTGTAAAACGAGGAAGTAAATCACTTGAGATAAATGGTGGTTATCCACAGCTCCCCTCCCCTTCATTTCCTTTCTTTTTCTTCTCCCTAAATGCCTTGGGTCTTAAGTGGCAACCAGGACTGAGTTCCTTGCCCTGACACTAAGTCTTCACTAACTATTTGCTAATTATGTGATAAATTTATAGAATCTCTTCTATGATAGTGACTCCTAGATTACAAATGGCATACTTCCTTGTTGGTTCTTCTTACCTCATCCAGCAAGGGAAGCTGTAAATGCTAAAACCACTGCTTACTGAATTCCTCAGTCCAGCCAGTTTACAGACATAACTTTTGTTTAAGTCATAAGTTTCAAACTAATTCATTCCACAGGAACTTTTTGACCATATAAGAAATAATTGACATCATAAAGAATATAAAATGAAGACACTATTCCTGCTCTTCAAGAGCTTACAATCTAAAAGACAAGGTAAGAACAACATCAAATAGCAACATATGATCAGATACAATCCAGTATTATAATAATAATGGATGGCAGAGCTCAAAAGTACTAAGGAGTTAAGAGAGAGAAAGAAAGAACAATACAGACACACAAACATATGCATACATACACAAGATAAAGAAAAGGTCTGGATAAAGCTATGCAACATGTATCAGTCAGTCCCTGAGGACTGGTTAATGACTTGGAAAGGAAGGACGGAGGGAAGAACATATTATTATACCATTAGCAACAGAGAATACGATGACCAATCCAAATTACACATAAGTTCTCAGTTGAATAGTAAGCTGTATACATGAGGTTCAAAAAGTAAAGCAAAGGCCAGTCAGAGGACAAGATCACATTCTGTTGGCAGTAAGAGCCTTGGGAATGGACTGAGCCATGAAATACAGTGATTAAAGCATTTTGAGAGAATGAGCACACCAAATGGTTCACAGGATAGAATGAAATGCAGAGGCCACAGGCAGATTCCTTCTCTATTCTAGACGTTGATTCCTCTGAAAGTTCCACATTCATGGTAGACCTAAAAATATCCCCAGCTCTTTTTCTTTTCTTTCATTAACTTTTCCCCCTTTTCTATCACCTACTAATCTATGAGGAGGAAGAGACTCAGTTCCCTAAGAGTAGATAGCTATATGTGACTGCCAATGTCTTCCAGTTCAGCTTGCACTGCCTTAGAGGCCTGACCAGATTCTGTCCCTACTGAAAGTGGCATCTAAAGAGGGCCAACAGTGTAAGATCCTCACTCATTCTTTATTCCGCTCCCCCTTCACAATGACTCAGGATTACCTCCATGGATTCCCAGGTGTATGATATGAACTAGAAAGATGTAGATCACAGATGAGGAGCTGACATAGTTGGTTGAATTCTATGGCCAGGCCGCTCCTGCTGACTACACATGGGGTCACTCAGTGCTGAACTTTGCAGAGAGAACTTATGAACTCTTTACCATACTTATTCATGTCCTTATTATCTTTGCCATCTCAGAGAACAAGGCAACCTATGGGTGGATTTTTTATTTATGAGAATACAGCATAATTCAAGTATGAGCTAATGAAGGTCTTGGATGAGAGGCAATGGTGGAAACGGAAAGCAGAAATAGCTTGTGAATGCTATTTTGGAAAATACACGGGACTTGGTGAATGATGAGATAAAAGATCAGGAAGCCAAGATGCCTCTGTGATTACCATCCTGGGTGAGTAAAGTGAAGTCTGATACCACTACAAAAAATAAAAAAAACTGAAAAGGGTCTCCAGTTTAGAGAATAAAGAAAAATTTGGTGTTAAACACAATCAACTTAAGGCAAGATCTGATGATTCTCAAGGGCATGGAATTAGAATTCAAGCAAAGTTTACTTTAAAAAAATATTAAGAGCTGGAGATATATATTTGAGAGCAACTCTACAAGCACAAATCCCTTCAGAGAGGAAGGATAGAAAAAGAAGAGGTAGAGAAAACAAGAGAGAATAAAAGGCTGAGTACCTTGGGGAAGACCCAAGGAGAAGTAAAAGGCAGCAGGAAAAAGAAAAGCTCTTTGAGGAAATGGAGACAGGAGGGGAGCAAAGGTCCAGGGCTTCTAAAATCGTGGAAAATGAACAGTATTAATAATAATACTGCTAATTACTTATAATTCTTACAACAGCCCTTCTGGGATTTAGCTACATTTTATAGATGGGGGAACTGAGAAAGGTTAACTTTCCCAAGGTTAATAAGTAACACAAGCCCAAAATGGAACCCAAATCTGATTCAAAACAAATGTTCCTTCACTAGTCCAGTCACCTAATTTGCGGAGGAAAAAAAATCACAGCCTACTTACTATGGATAAACCAAGGCAGCACAGGCTTAGAGTAAATAAGGAAGACAATACAAGGTTTCAAAATATAGAGTAAAAAAGAAGTAACAAATATAGCCACTCATTTCTAAATGAGTGAAACAATTATAGAAGCAGAATGGTAACTGAGCAGAGCAACACATCAAAATGTTTTTTAAGATGGGGAAGTTCTGAACCTATTGAAGGCAGATGGGAAAGATCAAGGACAGAGCTAGAAAAACAGAGAGACAGAGGGCAGGTGTACAAATTGGCTTTAAAGAGGAAGTAAGCACTTCCTCTATGATAATATTCTTCATGTTACGAGAGGACCAGGGCAGGATGAATTATCCTCTGTGAATAGTAAACAAAGACAAACGACTGTGATGTTTCAAAGTTGAATTAAAATAACCTCTAGTTGAAGACTACAAGGATTTGTAGAGGGCCAGAATTTTGGCATTTTATCAGAATTATGGGATTTTCTTTCTTTCTTAGTGATCTAAAGGACAGATATTCTAGAAGGTCACTGGATTCAGAGAGGGGACAAAGACTGACAGAATTAAGAAGGGCAGTCAAGTTTCCTGTTAAGATGAATGTTATTAACACGAATGCTGAATACACTTAAGATAGTAACATAGGTCAGCATGGAAAGAAGTCTTCACAAAGATGATGAAATCTATCCTGTGAGGCACTGATTATTTGGAAAAGATGACCAAGTCTTGTGACACAGACTGATGAGAAGAACAGGGATAAGGTGGTAAATTAAGATTGAAGAGTAAGAAAGGAATAATTCCTTTTAGCCTCATTGAGAAGCTCTTCAAAGGACAAAACTATACACTCTTGATGTGAGAGAAGCTGCATTTTAAGGGAAAAAAATGCCAAAAAAGGAGAAACAAAGCCTTCAAAAGACAGAAATATGTTCACAACAGAAAATGAAAATGAGGAAAGAACCAGATTTATCTGGATGGGAGCTTTAGGTAAGGGGAGGAGGAGTGATAGGAACACAAGGGAAGAGAAGAAGAAAGGTGGTTAGTGCCAGAAATGGTAGATAAGGATTCACAGACCAGACAACATTGGAGTCAAGTTCACAGAGGTGGTGGTGGGGACTGGAGCAGGGGAACCTTAGGACACAGGACATAAAAAATTTAAAAATATAGCAAGTTTAATACATCTGAATGGAAAACATTAATAATTCCCAAAGTTAATAAGTGTCTTCATGCTGTTTCCTGGCTACATACCTCTAATAGTAACTTCCACCAATTTATTCTAGAGAAAAACAATAAGCAACAAGTTCGGACAAGACCTGGACTTAATAGTACTGTTGAACAGAATTGATATGTTGTTACAGGGGGATTAACGGAACTGCTACTCACTGACGAGTAGTGATTACCCTCATTCACTGTCCTCAACCCATCTGTTCAATCTTTCTGATAAAACCGTTCATTTAAAAAAACTGCAAAAACGAGTGTAGAATACAAGAAAATGATGTACAGATTTATAAATAATATACACAGACACACAACCTGCAAGTACAGCAAAGATTTATTCAAAGTACCTACATCAACCAGGAGATCTGGGTCTATGCTAAACTGTCTTCCTGACAGCATGGCTTGAAAGTCCTCTAAACTGCAATCAATACTGTCAAGATAATCCAACAGCTCAACCCTAAGGGAAAAAAATTGAGAGAGGAAAAAAAATCAGTTTTTCTTTTTATGTTTAAATTACACTGCAATGTAGCTAGACAAAACATTCCCAGCAACTGCTGAATCCTTACCAATTCTTATCTTAATAGATTCTATTCAATATTTGGGCTTCCTGAAAATCCGGTTAACTGAGAACTTAGAACCTTTACACACAACTTTAGTGTTTATAGAAAAAAGGTTCTGCAACAATACAGTCTGATTTATCTCTTCCCTCTATATTACAAATTATTAAATGTTTAACCAGTAATAAGTTACTGATCATTGCTAATTTGTTCTTTTAATGCTAAAAAGTAAGTCCCTTAATAGAGATATGTCATTCCATCATCCTGATATAAACACAAATACAATCACACATACTTTATATAGACATTCAAAACAAGTATTTCACTAAGAAAATCTGAGAAACTGCCAAGAAAATCCCAAGACTGCTCTCAGGATTAACTCCTTCTCAAAATAGCATTTGTGGAGTTCAGCCCTGCCTGACCAATTCAGAGAAAGGTAGACTACATGAGTTCATAATGTGAAAGGAAGACCAATCAAAGAGAAATAGAATATATGAAATAAACAATGAGAGCAAATAAATTTAGACATCTAGATGAGCACTCACTTTCCCAAAAGATTGATGTTATCATTTAAAATGGAATCCATCATGGTCACAGGATCATCTGTGGTCAGACTGGATGAGCCATTTAGTTGGACGGCACTAGACATGAGAGGACTCGTGCCATCAGAGCCTGAACTTAGGGATTCTCTGGCTGGTTCATTCTGATCTCCACTCTGAATAACAGGTGCATATTCATCTTCATTGTCATCTTCAACAATGACAATATCAGGGTACTGGCTACAGCTAAATCAGCAATAGAAGAAAGAACCAATTACAGACCAAATCAATAAATTAATTCTATCCATTCATTCTCCTTGGAAATTCTCTCCCCAAACCACATATCAAAAGGCTTAAATTTCTTGGGAGAGTATCTTAACACAAATATTGATAGTTCGTACAATATAAGACCACAAAGAATCAATTAAAGGTTTAACTATAAAATTTAAAAATCAGAATTCTCATTAGTTTTTTGTTGGGAGTC